CTATATAAATACTGTTCGTTTTCTCACACAAACCGCTCGTTTCGTGTCTTAGGCCATCAATGTGTACTTACATTTGCGAGTCATTCAATCATGTTTAATTTTGACTTCTCTGTGCATGCTCTTTGAGGTGAACCGAGGGAGGACCCCCTAAACCTGCATTATATGACTGATAGACAACAACGGTTTGACCGAAAAATATAAAAATTGAAAATACTGTGGAAACAAAGACACCTACATATTGGATGCCCTTGAGGTAAGCTAAAACATATCAAAAATTAATTTCAAAGTGAACTATCCCTTTAAAATGTTGTAAAATTAGCCTTTTTTGTGTCCCTTTAAACATATTTGGATCACTAGACTGAAATAACCCATTAAACATGAGACATTTCTCCTTATATAGAACCTTTTTGGCATGCAGGGTTGTTTAAAATTGAATAGAACCACACTGAACCTTTTTTCTAAGAGTGTGATTAAAACCAAGAGTACTGTTCAGAAGAATTACTTTAAAACATGTTATTACGTTTTTCCGAATCCAATTTGAGAGCCAAGACCGTGATAAGCCCCACTGACACTGCTGTCATCAAAAGGAAGAGAACTATGAGCGACATCTCCAGACCGTTGAGACGACATCCCACAGTCTTCCGTGCCATCCTTCACTGAGACACACAGAACAATGTACATAAGGTAACATGTTATTCTACAGTATTCTTGTAAGATGTAGTTACTATATCAATATCTTTGAATTAACCCTAAACAAACCCTATAAGTACCTTAGTTATTTAATATTACTCAGTACTTACATGTAAAATTACACTGTAACAAGGACATCTTACAATAAAATGTAACCCAAAATATAAACATACTACAGTATGTGTGAAAACAGTTCTACTCGAGCACAGTCCAACAACTGAAATATCAATCCATATCCACAACGATTGAAAGCACGTGTCGGCACGTGTCGCTATCATGCACACACGACCATTCAAAAGTGAAGATCTGTATGTTCTTGTGTGTCTTATGATCACCAATTTATTTGATCTTGAATATTTTTTTTATTTTTTTTACAATTTAATAACTCTTTTCTATTTTAATACATTTTGAAATGTAATTTATTCCTGTGATGGCGAAGCTGAAGGAATGAGAAGGGAAAACACACGGAAAAGTGCACACACAATAGCCTATACACTTTTACAAAACAACAGTTCAAAAAATAATTCATAATATATATATATGAAGAGTTCAGATGCAAAAGCCTCTAAGTGCCATTTGAAATTTTCTTCTGAATGATCATTTTTGTCAAGCTTGTATATTTAAGTTCAGTGATTTCACTTAAATGGCAATTATGATTACCTATTAATTGTTATTTAAGTGAAATTACTGAACTTAAATATACAAGTTTGATAAAAATCATCATTAAAGAAGAAAATTTCAAATGGCAAGAGGCTTTGCATCTGAACTCTTCATATATATATATATATAGACACACATGCACGCAACATTCCAGTACAAGCATTATACATTATCAAATAATTACTGTATAATATGTGGGAAACTACTTACATGTTTTACTCTTGGTGCAAACTCAGTAAATGGTGCAGATTTTGTGTGGAAGAAACACGTGAATCCAGTGTGGAAAAAGTGCACACTTATATAGCTAGCTGGACAAAGGTGGTATTCTCTCATTTATAGCCGTATTTAATGTTGACATGTGAAACCAAACTCAGATTAGATTAGTTGCATAACAGTTGAGATACCAGAGACCATCATGATGTTAATTTTTACTACAGAGGGACTATTTCAGTTAATGATAAAGTCACAAAAAATGTTGCTTATGGATCACAACTTGTAAGAATGTCTTCTTATTTGTAGTTGTGTTTTCTATTTAAGCGGTCACTTTTATACAGTGTTTGCATAGAAATGTGTCTTTGCAGTGTGTGGACACAACCACCATACAATGAAAAAAAATTCCAAAAATCCATTCACTCCTTTTTTTTAATCCTCAAAAAGATTTAAAACTCTCTATAATCAAGTCGTTTGGATTTTATGAGCAATAGACCTTTTTCACAAAAACCGGAAATACGTAATCGTTGTGGAAACGGAGTTCCCGTCAACTGTTGAAAAACCTACTCTGGGAGGAGAAAATTGATCAGAGAGTCTTCAAAACTTCGAAAAAATGTAAACTTGTCATGGTCCAGTTGTTGATGACTTTGTAAAATGCTGTGGTGATGCTTGTCTGCAGCTGATTTATCTAAGACCAATATGGTCTTATGATATGATATTGATTTTAGAACTGAAGCTCATTCTTCCCAATACATTAATTAAAGGTAAGAAGGTGGAGTGTGTGGAAAGTTATTAATATTTAGGGAGTATTATTTACAATAAACTACATTTTGATGTGGATACCAGAAAGAAGTCTGTCAGTTTTATTCAACAGTTATCCTGAATTGTTTGCACTGCTGTTATAGAACAATCAAAGATGAAGAAAAATTAGACAAATATTAATTTATTCCTTGTACACTCAGATTGTTAAATACTCAGAATGGTATATATTAAAATTTTAAATTATGTAGCCCACTGTGTGTTCTTATTTATCTTGTTTTATATTGTGGTGTATATATGTGCTTATTCCGCTGGATACAAATATCTTAATACAGTTGAACATGAACTAACGTTACTTCAAAAATACGCAAATCATAAAACATAAAAAATAAACAAACAATGACGGCTTATTAGTGACTGGTGACATGAGAAGTACAGAAGATCACAGGATCAATAACATCCCGCCAAAATTGCCTGAATCCATTTCCGTCGAACTTCATCGACAGGGAGGGAAGGAATGAAAACGACAGGTATGGCTGCTTTTGGGAATAACAAAAAAGATCGGTACGCAACAACTCTCACTAGTTGCCTTCGGCGCTATCTGTTATGAATGGAGCGGAAGAAGAGTACCACGACAATTGCGTATTTCCGGTCACAAATACGGAAGTTGTGAGAAAGGTCTATATGATGTCATATTACTCATGCTCCGCCCACGACCACAGGTGGACTGTCCCATATTAGAATATTTCCGCCCTCAGCCATTTGCATACAGTCCCCCATGATGCTGCGTTCACACCGAAGGCGAATAGCGCGTCAAATTCACACCTGACGCGTCTAGCTTGACCACTTTGTGTTAATTCGCGTGCCAAGAGTGAAACTGACGTGCGTAAAAACAAAAGTTTGAAGCGAAATGTACGCGCGTGATGCGCGTCACAAGCGAAATCCGTTGGCGACCATTGTTTTTATGTCCACCGAGCATTCATCGAGAGAGTCACCGCTCTGTATTTGCTCTGGAGAGCAGAACAGCGGCGTGGGGATCATCGTCGCCATATGTGTCCACCGGACCCTTCAGAGGTGAACCTTTTGGCGAGTTTTTGCTCGCTCCAGGAGCTGCGCTGGATAACAGCCACTGTCAGCGGTACTTCCGCCTGTCACGCGTCCAGTTTGACGACCTGTTGTCCCGCATCGGAGCGAGGATCACCCTCGCCCTCATCCATCTAATCTAGCTGTCATTTATTTTTGTTTTGATGATAAATAGAGGCAGCCTCTAAAAGTTATTAACCTGTCCTGTGATTATTTTCTCTCTCACGTCCAGACACGAACTTATGCCCCAGACAGCAAACTGACATTGAATCAACGTGGAAACGACGTCTCTCATGACATTGAAACAACGCTGATTTTGCTCATCGAATTAACGTTGAACCAACGTCAGACGCGGCATTCTTCAAAAATGAAAATCGAAAATTGGTTTGCTTTCATAACGTTGAAACAACGCGTTGATTTCAAGATGATTTTCCGTTTTGAAAGAATGACGCGTCTGGTTCAACGTTAATTCGATGAGCAAAACAATGTCAGATCATCGTTGTTTCGATGTCATGTTTCCACGTTGATTCAATGTCAGTTTGCTATCTGGGGCACATGTATGTTGGTTGTCTTTACATCATAATAATATTTCATATAATCTAGATATGGAATGAATAACATTCAATACAAAAAGGACATGTCTCGTATATAGAAATAAAGTTTTAAATGAAATATTTGCTTTGTTGTGCATAATCCCACCATGCATTTACTTATTACAAAATAATTTATTGAAGCATCCAGATACTTCACCACGTGAGCAAGCAGCAGGCTCCTGATTGGTTAACGCGGCGCGAATTCACGCCAAAGTTCAGATTTTTTAACTCGGGTGGTAGACGCGAATTCGCGTCAAACGCGTGAATGCACAAATAGTAACTAAATCATTCGCGCTTAACGCGCCAGACGCTCAATTCGCCACGCCACACTCTATGCCTCATTCGCGCCGCAGGAATTTTTTTACGTGCGTAACGCATCTTTGAATTGCCTGAACATTGAAATCATTCGGGCCTGACGCGCTATTCGTGTCCGGTGTGAAACGCACCATGACAGCTCTTTATGTGTCTTGTGTCAACAAGCTGAAGGTGTGAGGTGTGGGGTGAGCAGTTGCTAATTATCATTTAAAGAGACCTGCACCAAAACAGGCATCTGTGAAATCCTTGTTTGAAAGCACAATCCTCTTGTTCGTTAACACTGTCAGGGTCTGAATCGGGCTCCAAATGGTTTGAAATCGACTCCATTGTTAATATCTAGAGCTAGCGCCGTGGTTATGAACGGGCATGACATTTCTTGAACACAACAAACTGGCAGGCTAAATAAATAACAGCACATTTTGTATTTCGGAAGACTGAGGAGAGAGGAGCTGTAATCATGTAAAATATGTGAAAAAAATGCATATTTGAATGGTCAAGCATGAAAACATAATCTAGTACACCTCAAAAAAGGGCATAATAGGAGCCCTTTAAATTTTATTTTTGAGTGTCACATAGCCACGAAAATCCTTTAAATTAAAGTTGAAGATCATGAGAAACACTGATGACTTACATTGATGATATACTCACAGTCACAAAAATTAAAATAAAATAATCACGCAAAGAAAGCAGTTTTTGTGCTAATATTTGTCATTTATTTGTTTGTCAATGAACGAACACCTCCTACTGTTACATCACAATAGCAGCTTGTTGAATAGGGTGGTCAATTGGACAGAACATCTGTTCTGGCTTTCAGAGAGGATGGATCGGGTCACATCGTTCTTGTCATTCAAACCCAGCACAACCTGCAGAGACCTGGAGTTCAGTAAGAACCATAAAGCACCAGCTGTCTGACAAAATATGATACAAAGACATTAATAAATACTTTCCGAACACAACATCAGAGAAATGGTTATGGACAACCAAATTAGCTTTGCTGACACTGTCATGGAAATACTCTTCAAAGCGAGCAGGATTGTTACATTCGGGCGACGAGGTGAGTTCTGTTTCAAGCATATGTGGTTACAGCATGACCACCCTGAATATAGTCCAAAACACTAGAATTGTCTTTGAACGAACATAAATACACTGCAGTTGACTGCCAGAACAACGTTCCCGAACTATTAAGGCACTGAGGAGGAGCATTCGATGTTTAGAAAAAACAAAAACAAAGAATTAGTTAAAAAAATACAAATTATATTCATATAAACCTTCTCTGACAGCAAACGACTAGAAACTGTACAAAACTTGCTCAGATTAAATGCGTCAAAAAATTGCTTGAGTTAACAAAAATATCTTGAGATGATGGCTTTATGCCTGTAAACAGGTGCAAAGATACTTGGAGACACTGTCAAGTTATTCGGGAAAATATATATATATTTTTTTTATTGACGTAAGATGATATCACAGGCCATCGCAAGCCACTTGCTTATCCCCGTCCATGGTTTTGTCTCCATTCTTAGGCCCATTCGTGATAAGTTGTACATCCAAAAATCAATCCTGTGAGAACAGCACAGAGGAATGACAAGCTTTGGATGACTAGTCTGTTAGTTAAAGGGATTGGCTACAATGTCAGGCTTGTTCCGGCACTTTGGGCACATGTTTTGGAGACCAACTTCCAAATTTGCACGTCAGTCAGTCTGAATCTATCCGTGTGTACTTCACGTGACCCCACTGCAGCGATCTCCACGAGAAGGGCTTCTGGTAGCTGCGGGGGACGACGGCGGGAACATTGCTTTCCAGGTACTGGAAAAATCTGTACCACCACACGTGGGTGAAAAAGTTGGTCTGGGACGTCTCTTTGAGAGCCTAAAATAGATGCAGATGGTTAGAGGTTAAAATACAATATAGGGCTCTGAATGGAAATGTTGACGACGTCGAAACAGACAAACGCACTTGTTGGTTAGCCATTGTGTGATACCACCAGAAGAGACGTGTGGTGATGAAGTAGGCCACAACAACATCAATCGTGTAGTGGTCATGAGCAAGAAGAATGCAGAACACTCCTATTGCACACATCGCCCAGCAGCCCCAGTGGTACCACCAGAACCTTCTCGGAGAATCTGTGAGGTGCGAGAAAATTAGGGGGTGTTATAACAGTGAATGCTTCTTTAATCCTCCAGTAAAGTGAAGAATTACAGAACCAAAGGTGAAGTTCATCACATTAAAGGGATACTTCAGGATTTAGCATTAAGCTTTGTATTAGTAGAAAACCTGTAGTATTCTCAAAATTACCATGCTTTCCGCCCTCATATCCCCCTGAGACGAAAGATTTATGCATTTTTTTTTTGTCTGGAAAAAACATCCGATGACGCAAAAATCAGTGATGAGTGCAACATTATTTGTTTAATCTGATCTGTTTTAAAATGAATGTGTAAGTCTCATTATTTATTCCCCTGTTCACAGGAACATTAGATTTAATGTTCATTATAATATGCAAGTAACGGAAATATGTGTGTAATTTTTATTGTTGTTTATTATACATTTGATATACACTACCAGTCAAAAGTTATAGATCAGTAAGATTTTTTTATGTTTTTAAATGAAGTCTCTTCTGCTCACCAAGGCTGCTTTATTTGATAAAAAAAAAAAAAAATGACAAACAGTAATATTGTGAAATATTATGATAATTTAAAATTACTGTTTTCTATTTTAATATATTTTAAAATGTAATTTGAAAGCTGAATTTTCAACACCATCACATCAGTTTTCAGTGTCACATGATCCTTCAGAAATCATTCTAATATGCTGATTTTATGCTCAAAAAACATAAATTATTATTTTCAATGTTGAAAACAGTCATGTACCATTTTTTCCCCAAAAATTCTATAATGAATAGAAAGTTCAAAAGAACAGCATTTATTTAAAATATATTTTTTTCTAACATTATAAATGTGTTTACTGTAACTTTTGATAAATTTTAATAAACATTGATGAATAAACATATTTTCTAATTTCTTTCCCCCAAATATAAAAAATAAATTCTTCCTGACCCCAAACTTTTGAATTGTAGTGATTAATGTTACAAAAGCTTTCCATTTCAGATCAATTCTGTTCTTTTGATCTTTCTATTATTCATCAAAGAATCCTGAAATAAAAATGTAAAAAAATGTTTTCAACATGGATAATAATCATAAATGTTTCTTGAGCATCATATTATAATAATTTCTGTAGGATCATGCGACACTGAAGACTGGAGTAACTATGCTGTAAATTCAGCTTTGATCACAGGAATAAATTACACTTCACTATATATTTACATAGAAAACCACTGTTTTAAATTGTAATAATATTTCACGATATTACTGTTTTTTAAATAATTTTTTATCAAATAATTGCATGCCTTGGTGAGCAAAAGAGACTTCTTTTTAAAAACATAAAAAATCTTACCAATCGAAAACTTTTGACCGGTAGTGTATATAAACAAATTTCCCCTTGGGGTTTAATAAAGTATTATTGAACTGAACTGTATTACTAAAAAAGACGGTAACACATGACTGGCATGACCTTCATAACCATGAAATTGACATGTCTTGAATATGAAGTAGGGTTTATGCATATTAATGACAAATGTCATTAAGTGTTTTTCGCTCAATAATGACATTTTGAATGCAAATATGACATTGTTTGAGATGTCTTTGTTATGACATCTTGACATAAACCAATACATCATAACCTGTCAGTGTCTTTGTCATGACAATTCAATGTTGTACCACTGTAGTTGAGGTCACGAAAAATATTCATGACAGTTATAATGCCTCATGACAGCCAATGTCAAAGCCAACCACATGACAGTTTAACTTCATTTTATGTCAAGCTGTCATGACAAAGACACTGACAGGTTATGATGTATTGGTTTATGTCAAGGTGTCATAACAAAGACATCTCAAACAATGTCATATTTGCATTAAAAATATCATAACTGAGTGAATGACACTTAATGACAGTTGTCACAAACATGCATAAAACTTCCTTCATATTCATAACATATGTCATGTCATGATTATATAGGTGTCATGTTAGTCTTGTGCACACCCCTTCAAGTAAAGTGTAACCAAAAAGGCTATATTTTTGTTAGAAAAATATCTTTTCAAGTAACATTGATGTTGTTCTGTTGGAAAAAGAATATGTATGTTTCGGTTTGGAACAAAATCTTTCAGGTTTTTTTGGGACATGCATTTTTGAACCAGATCCTATGAAAATGTTTGGAGTTTCTGAAGAATTTTTGAGACTACATTAGTACAATAGTTTGTTTCATATGGGTTAATCTCTACCAAAAGGGGGGAAGTATTACTTTATTTTGGAAGAAAAAGGAAGTTCCAGCTCTGATGTCTGACAGAGCCGACTGGTGCACTACATTTAGAAAGATTTAGATACACCCAAAAAGACAAGAGTTTGTTACTTGAAAATGTTTGGTCCCCTATTATTTTTTTCTGCAAGATTGTGATTATGTTTATCAAGTTTTTCTGTACAATTATTATTAGCCTTATGTCTTTTTTATGCTTATTTGTTAGGATGCGTTTCATTTTTTTAAAGTGTAATTACCAATAATTTTCTAGTTAAATAAATTTAAACACAAAAGAATATGTATGTTCCATAAATTTGAGCAGTCGGGTGTTAAAATGAATTTAATGAAATTTGTTGATTTCAATGATTTCATTTCAATACTGGTAATTCTCAGATCTTTTAAATTTCACATAATGATGTATTCAAATCAAATGTATCATGAATATTAATAAAAGCTCATAAAATGTGAACTTTCAAAGAATATTTGAATAATAAAAAGGGTGAAAATGTAGAAATGACTTTGATACAACTTTTAAATTGCTATGCAATCACTCATTTAAGAGAAGTTACTAATCAGATATAACTCAGACGACTTATTATTTTGAATGCATTATAGGTGTAAGGTATTCCACTTACAAATTAAACTTGTTTTAGTGAATATTTGGCTTGAAAAGTTTTTTGGGGATAAAATAAATGTCAAATCAGTTTGATTTTATTGTAATCTAAATAATGCAAGACCCTTCATACATTTTTAAGTGTGCATGGTAGCACTGTATGTCCACTAGGGGACGGTGTTGTCCCAAATCGTCTACTCACACTCCTTCATGAAGAGATAAGTGAGGGTGAGCATGACCGTATGGCCACTGTACAAGTAGTCTCCACACAAGTTATGGGAGCCTGTGATGGTCAGACCCCCTCCTGCGATCAATTTCATCACCCGCCGTATCCGAGATTCCCAGTCGCCATACAGCTGCCAGAAACAACACACAAGCATTAGCATCATGTTATTCACCCAGAATTCCTTCATCTATTTTGATTCACCGCTTGACCTTATTTGTTTCTACAAACTCAGCAAGTTCCTGTCAAAAACAATGACCCCTTTGAGGCGCAACATAAAAGCAACAATGGCTCCTAGAAAGCAAAGTTCTTGCCGTTTAAGTCTAGGCTTTTTTGTTAGCATGTCATATGCAAGAGGAAAGCAGGTTCTAACAAGTTGCTGAGCTTGATGATAAATGTTTCCTGCATGCCCGGTGGTGTGGATTTCCTGTCTTGTGTAGCTAGTGTGTGTTCACGGCATCCCATCGGTGACACTGAGTCACACACACTGTTGCAAAAGGATCGCCAGTGCATTGGCAGGCAGCATAGCAACACTAGAGCAGATACACTCTAAACAATAATTTCATTTCACAATAATATTGCTCATACTCCTGTACCCACTTGAGTATGAGCAATATTATTGTGAAATTAAATTATTGTTTACACAAACTTTTATTTTGGATGCGATTAATCGCGATTAATCGCATCCAAAATAAAAGTTTGTGTTTACATAATATATGTTGGTGGACTTTGTTTAATTATTTTGTACATATATAAATACACACACATTTATGTAAATTTAAGAAAAAAATATTATTTATATATAAAATATTTATATTTATATAAAATATAAATTATGTATAAATCTATATACAGTATATACATGAAAATATTTCTTAAATATATACAAGCATGTGTGTGTATTTATATATATAAAATAATTATACAGAGTGCACCCACATATATTATGTAAACACAAACTTTTATTATTTTGGATGCGATTAATCATTTGACAGCCCTAATATATATATATATATGAAAAGCTTAATGCATTTTTTTGTAATCAACATTTGGAATATGGGTGTTTTATTAAAAAAGGCAAAAGATTTTGAGCAAAATGCTGGGGAAAAAATGCATAGATGGAGATGGAGTAGATTGAGTCCATCAACAATCCTAATGCTTGCAAATTCCTATAGCTCGTCCTGGGTCGACATTTCAATCAGTAACATTAGGCAGTTTTGATTAATAAGCGGTTTAAATGTTGATGATCACGTTATTTTACATATGCATCTACTTATGCTATGCTATCACTTGTTTCTGCTGCTTTGTCGCCTGTATTTTGATCAGGAGATTCTGTACTCTTTCAGAAGATATCATAGCGCCCCCTACCGTATAGCAGTGAAATTTCCCTCGATGGCAGGGAAAGGGTTAATTGATCAATGGCTTGTGTTAAAACTGGATTCTCTTTTGTTCTTCTGGAAAACTTTTGTTCTTCCTAAATATGAATGGGTTCCCAGGACATATTAAAAGAGATAAAAATAACACACTTCACATTTTCCATGAATGCTTCTCAGTTCAATGTGAAATATGTCCCTTCATGACCTCTGAGGATATTTATAGAACAGTCACAAATTCTTTACATCCACTGTTAAAAACATAGATGTCAACTGACCCATCCTGTAACAGAGAATGAACTGAAAGATTATGGGATGAAAATACATTAAAAATGTATTCTAGCATTTTGTAATCTTTCCTACAAGTGAAGCATCATACAGTATCGATCATTACAAGAGCTATGTAAAATAACATGGTCTTTTTTACTCGTGTAACTGGACAAAAATTGACACAAAACTCATCAAGAATATTAATTGGATCAAACAAAAAGTATTATAACTATTATAACCATCAACAAGAGAGAAACACACATACTTTTATTGCTTTCGTTTTTTATTACTTCTTTAACTCGCTAACATACTTGCCTAGCAGGTTAGTTGTGCTGATTATGAAGTAACTATGTTAAAACAACATAACAAATAATATGAGAAAAGGAAAAGAAAGTAGGATTATTTCGTTGTTACCTTCGGAGAGCATCTGAAGTGCATGCCAGGCACAGGTAGAGTAGTGATGTACATGGTGATGCACCTGTAGAGGTAAAGCGTCCCGACTATGAAACAGAAGCGGCGACCGACAATTGATCTGGGGAAGGAAGATGTGGTGATATATTCATATTAGTGAACTACAGGGATTTGTTTTACAGATATTAATTCATTTAATAAATAAATAAATAAATAATTTAATTAATTAATTAATTATATATATATATATATATATATATTATGGTAATGAGAATTTGAGGGAACATTATGCTTAATTGTCAATTAAATATTATTTAAATAATATTACAGTCAAATTACAGCAATGACAACAAAATCATTTTTTTTATTGTTTTTTTTTTAACTTTTTTTTTGCTTTAGATTAATTAGTATAATATTTTCTTGCAAGTATTGTGCTACTGTCATAAAATAATATTTAAATATATATAACATAATTTTGTCATAAGAAAGGAGAATGAGAATATTTTCTTTCCTAGTGGTGATGACAGTTTTAGTGAAAATGGTGATTGTTACGAATTATTATTCTTTATTTTATTATTATATTATTAACAGTAATCAGAAGGTAAAACTTAATTATTTTCCAGCTAAATTCTTCCTCAATCACCCCATCAAGGTCAGACAGAAATCTTGAAGTAACCTTTGATGATCAGCTGACCTTCTCAGACCACATTACAAAGACAGCAAGATCATGCAGGTTTGCTATACACAACATCAGGAAGATCAAGCCTTTTCTATCTGAGCATGCAACACAACTTCTCGTCCAGGCCCTAGTCATTTCTAGGTTTGGTTACTGCAATGCTCTTCTGGGTGGACTTCCACAATGTGCAACTAAACCTCTACAAATGATCCAGAATGCAGCTCGTCTGGTCTTCAACGAGCCCAAAAGGGCCCACATCACTCCTCTGTTCATCTCTCTGCACTGGCTACCACTCGCTGATCGCATCAAGTTCAAGGTGTTGACTCTTGCTTACAGATCGACCACAGGATCCGCTCGTTCCTACTTCCACTCATTCTACATCCCTACCAGAAGCCTAAAATCAGTCAATGTGCGACGGATTGTGGTACCATCACAGAGAGCCTCGAAATCACTCTCCAGAACATTCTCATTCACGGTTCCATGCTGGTGGAATGATCTGCCCGCCCTCATCCAGAATGCAGAATCCCTGTCAGGATTCAAGACAACTGAAAACTCATCTCTTCCGTGAACACTTAAAGGGATAGTTCACTTTGAAATTCATATTTGATATGTTTTAGCTTACCTCAAGGGCATCCAAGATGTAGGTGTCTTTGTTTCCACAGTATTTTCAATTTTGACATTTTTCAGTCAAACCGTTGTTGTCAGTCCACCAAAAAGCATGCACAGAAAAGTCAAAATTAAACATGATTTAATAACTCGTAGACGTAAGTACACATTGATGGCCTGAGACACGAAATGAGCGGTTTTTGTGAGAAAACGAACAGTATTTATATCGTTTTTACCTCGTGTAATCAGAGTGACGTCCAAGTGATCTGAATCAGTTGTGCAATGTCCAACTGAACCGAACTGAATCAGTTCAATGTTACGTCGGAAGTGATCGCTTGCGTGTGACGTCACTCAATATTTACACGGAGATTTCGGAAGTTTTACCTTTTACTAAACATATTTAGATATACCAAAATCGTCTTCCATTGCGGTTTCCCGTATATCTAAATATGTTTAGTGAAAGGTAAAACTTCCGAAATCTCTGTATAAACAAAGAGTGACGTCGGCGCGCAAGCGATCACTTCCAGCGCATGCGCAGACCGAAGCGCCCGTGCTGTCAGATCATTTTGTCATGGCTATGATTACAAGAGGTAAATGCGATATAAATACTGTTCGTTTTCTCACAAAAACCGCTCGTTTCGTGTCTTATGCCATCAATGCGTACTTACATTTACGAGTCATTAAATCATGTTTAATTTTGACTTCTCTGTGCATGCTCTTTGGTGGACCCCCTTAGCCTCCAGTGTATGACTGATAGACAACAACGGTTTGACTGAAAAATGTCAGAATTAAAAATACTGTGGAAACAAAGACACCTACATCTTGGATGCCCCTGAGGTAAGCTAAAACATATCAAAATTAATTTCAAAGTGAACTATCCCTTTAACATAATAATATTAATCCTTTAAATCCTTGCTTATCTGGCTTATGCTACTCCAAGCAATGTCTGAACTTTGTATTTTGAGCACTTCTTGCATTGTTTTTGCCTCTTCACGATGACTCACTTGGTTTAGTCCTCTGTTGTAAGTCACTTTGGATAAAAACGTCTGCTAAATGACTAAATGTAAAAATCTAAATGTATTTTGAGAAAATAATTACAGTAATGCTAATTTAAGTGAACATTGCATTTAATTGTCATAATAAATAGTCTGAAAATTTTGTTCATGTTAAAGTTAATTTAAGCGAAAATTGTGTGTGCTTGTCATATAAATATTGTAAAAATCTGAAAATTCTCCTCACTGTTTTCAAGCCAAATTTAATAGATGTATTTTTATTGAATCTGGAGAGTCAGGTTTTGTGACATTACTCATGAAGAATAAAACATACACAATGTGTGCAACTTAGAAAACTCACTTGTGTTTTAAGAGACTCCACTGTATGATCCACAAGACCACCAGAATCATTCCGTTGATCTCGCATACAGAGAAAGCCCATTCCACCCGGTCAAAAAAGTCAAAGAACTTGTCAGGGAGAGGTGGAGTTGCCTCCTTAGGAGGCACACGTTCATGGACCACAGAAATAATGACGGTGGTGAAGACGAAGCAGCATAAGGCATAGACAAGAGCCACGGCGCTCTTTCCCCATTCGGGAGGGAACTGTGGAGAAGCTGGCTCGGGTATGGTAATCTGCACCAGTTCCTTGTGGAAGTCATTCACCACGCCATTCCGCGGAGCCTTGCCGGTGATCCCAGCATTCCCGTTATGATTCAACACCATGTGCCCATTGGCATGTCCATTCTTGTGAACATCGATGTGATGTTCAATCTTAAGAGTCTCTATCTTTTCCAGGAGCAACAGACCCCCATCTGACGTGACCCTGGAGAGGGATGGCCTCTTGAAGTCCTCCGTGGTAAGATTTAATAAAGCCTGTCCGTCTAGATTTCTCAGTGGTTCAGAGTATTCCTGCAAACCCTGATCGGTCAGCCAGAGCGAGACCTCCTCCTCAGACCACGACTCGACTTTATTCATATCAGCCCTTGAGCTTGTAGAAACGTACTGGAGAATCCGACATAGGCACACACTGCTACGAAACACAAAGTCCTTTTCTGACCATGATCCTTACAAGGGAAGGGCTCTGGGGAAGTCTGGCTCACAACTTCCAGAAGTTTAATCCAAATATGATGCACACCTACAACCCCGTCATAAACGTCTGTCCTGTAAGAGAAAGGACAAAAAGAAAACTTGTTCAGACATCTTAATACAGACATACAAAGAATATTTTTGCCCAACATTTTCTAATACGCTTCACCCAAAGGTTAACCCTTTCACGCCTATGATCACAACGGTGTGATCAGTCTTGGTGGTCTCTGGAGCATACGCTCACACCGGTGTGATTAGAACAGTCAGCGCATCACATGATCAACTGCTAAATTCAAACGTAGCTGGCGCGTTGGCTGGAACTGAGCCAGAGACAGACGCACTCAGTGCTGTCATACATCACAACTATTGAGTGTTTTCAATCATAATGTTTATTTTAGGGCTGGGTAGTCACACAAATTTCACAATTCGATTCCGATTCGATTCAATATTGATTATTTTGGAAATCAGTTACAATAAAAAGCATTTTTTTTCAAGGAAATCAAATCTCTTAACTAATGCTGTAAACTATGGGAGTCTAGTTGTAGCCTACTAGGCTTCATTAGCCTAATATGAAGGTAATAATTAACTGTTTTGTAGCTATACAAACACTTAAATTATGTTTTTATTTATTTTTATAATAAGAAGATTATATGAAATATAAACATTTAAATGGTGGCTGTCATAAAAACTTGCCAGATTTATTCAAATATGCATTAAATATTGAAGAACATTAAGATTATAATGCATATGGTGTATATATATTTTTTAGTTTTTTTTTTTCCAAGCTGACTAATGAGTTTATGTGGGTTTCTGAGGTAAATATGACGATACATGACATTTATTACAAGCTGTTTAACTGCCGTCTTTCCATGGTTGAAACGCTGATTGAGCGAATCAATGTGACTGTTGTAAGTTGTACTATATCTTTTAACACACTTTCAGATGCTCATTTCATGTTTATTTCGCGCTGTAACTGGTATTATTAAGCCGGAAGAGAGATCAGCGCTGCTGCTTCTCTTGAGCTGCGCCAGAGCGATCCCAGCTAACAAAAAAAGGTCCCCAGAACGTCCCCTAAATGGCCTGTGCGAACGTCCCCCCGAACGTCCCCATGTGGAGTCCGCTTGATGTCCCGCGGACATTCGCGAAGACGTCCTCCGGACGTTCAAGAGGACGTTCCCAGGACCACCAGCGGCCATCCGGGACGTTTATGAGACTTTCGCGTTTAGTCCCCTGAATATCATTTTATTTTATTTTACTTCTGGCTAACCAAAGAAAACAGACGCGGTGTAAGGTACAAAGTACATTATTTATTTAAAACAATTGTAAAGGTGGCATTTCCGTGTGTGTGTGTCTTCAAATGCGCTGGCAGCTGTGTGTGTGTGTGTTTGTCGGTCAGCTGTGGGATTAATCCGATGGCTCTCCCCCTTCGGCGTCTAACGTTACCTAAAACAACAAAAATGAACATATTCCATTATGATTTTATCAATATGTGAAATGTTGTCTCATTTTCAGCTGTTAGCTTCGTAGCTGCTACTCATATTAGCATATAACGGTTATCAGCGGTACATTGCGGACAACTTCAGCAAACGTTTTAAAAGGTAACATTTTCATATAATTTGAAGATGGACAGTGGTTATGGTGACTAATTTATAATAATATAATTAAAAATACCTTTTAGACAGACGACGGACAGAGGAAACACAAGGCTGCGTCTGAGAAGGACCGTTAACTGTCACTACGCTACCCAGCTGAGCGTTGCCATGGATACAAACCATAGACTGTGATACAAACCGCGTACATAAGGAATGACGTCACTCGCTTAGCCGCATTTGATTCTATGATTTGATCATCACTCGCTTGTTTCTCCAATGTTTTTTTTGTTTTGTTTTTTGTTATTTGTTCTGTATGTGCTATCAGTCTTAAGTACAATAATTATAACAATATTTTTCCTAAAATAAATTATTTTTAATAAAACCAGTCACCTTCTCCTGACCAAAGTTTGACAGGTAAATGTTTAGGATACTTTTATTTGTCTTACCTGTTATTATCCACTTTTCCATTCTTCACGTTTTCCTTGGCTGCATTCATCATTTGAAGTCGATGCATTAGCTCCTGGGATTCAATCTCTGTGCATGTGAATAGCCTTTATAAATTATAGCTCATATTCAATTGAATCAATTGTCATGTTTTTGATGTTTAAATTATAACGGGTGAAAACAGACTCGTGGTATACATCTTTAATTAGTGATTAGAATTTACATGAAGTAACATGAACATTATCTTAACATTAAAACACTAACATTTTAGCATTAACTTAATTTTACAATCAATGCAAATATTTGCATTTATATTTTAGTTTAATTATTCGTTTGTCTGAGTTGTAAAGTTTCAGTTGATGATAGCAAACATGGGCGACTGGTTAAGTGTTGTCATGGAAATGCCAGGTGAGGGACGAAATAGGGACGTTCGCAAACTGGCCCGGACAAATGTCCTCAGAACGTCCGTCAGCGAACGTTATAGAATGGATCAAATGCGAACGTCAACGGAATGTCCGCCAGCGAACGTTACAAAGCGGACCAAATGCGAACGTCATCGGAATGTCCGCCAGCGAACGTTACAAAGCGGACCAAATGCGAACGTCATCGGAATGTCCGTCCGCGAACGTTACAAAGGGGACCAAATGCGAACGTCATCGGAATGTCCGTCGGCGAACGTTACAAAGGGGACCAAGTGCGGACGTCCTCCGAACGTCCGCTAGGGAACGTTACAAAGCGGACCTAATGCGGACCTAAGGGGACGTTTGAAAAGTCCGGGGGACGTCCCTTGTTTGCCACAGCGCCAAAAAAATTTATGTTTTTGAATTTCTAAAGAAAATGGACGTAATTTGAAAACTGAGACTTCGTTTCATATCAATAGTAACAAAGGACAAAGATTATTGCAATTTTTTGGATGCGCGCAGCCGTGATACAATGTTCCATTCATTCAAATGAACAGGGTGACTAATCGATTCTTGAGATTTAAGAATCGATATCGGTTCGTAAAAATGAGAATCGATTAATATCGAGAAATCTATTTATTACCCAGCCCCAGTTTATTTTAAGGTTTTGGACATTTAAATAAATACACATAAGTAATAGCAAAACAATGATTTTGAGTTTGTAAAATATACACTTACGTCTACGGGAGCGGCAATAATAATCCTTAAAATTATAATAAAACGACACGTTTTATTCATATTAGATAGACACTGTGTAAATAGCTTAACATTTGACCCTATTCTTCTCCCAGTTCACCGGCCAATTTCATCAGAAGTGGAGGAATTGACGTCGTAAATCCAACAGATCCGATTCTCTGAACTGTAAAACAAACTAAAATGGCGCCGCCCATTGTGCATACCAAAACAGTTCAACCAACGCGATCGTTATAAAGATGTTTATACAACAAAACCCATCTACTTGCACATATTTGACAATCGGAAAATTAGTGTTTCATGCTATAGCTAATACATTAGTGAATATTTGTAATAAAAAGGAAAAAATGACATGAAACCATCATTCATTCAGTGCTGTGTTGTGGTTGCGCTGTGTCACGTGAAAAGCAATGACACTTCACCATGGAAACATTGAGACAAGAAACAAAGTGACAAGTTCTAAATAACGGTCGCCTTGAAAAACTCACGCTGGGGGGTCAGTTAGAATATTTTAAACTTACGTGTGAAAAAGGGTTAATATAGTTAACTAAAAAAAAAAAAAACGTTGTTATTTGAAATATAATTAATGTTAACTGAAAAAAACAAAACCAAAAAAATTTTTACAAAATATAATATACATTTAAAAACTATTTCAGCTAGTTGCTAAAGATAGATTTCTCTTGATATACTTAAGTTACTAAAACTATAAAAAATATAAAAACTACAATATCTCAATGATATGAAAATAACACTGCTTATACGTGATTTCACACGTACATTAAAAATAAAATAAAATAAATAAATAGTCATCACTTTATTCATATTTAAGCACAAAACTAATTGCAAGCTTGTCAAATTTGTTTTCACAAGTCTTTACATTATAGCAAAGGCATTAAACGATTCAAGAGTGCAACAACGCCCAGTGAGATGTGCAATATGGCAACAGTTAAAAACCACTTGTAACTACTCACGAGTTTCATTTTCCTCCCGAGTTCTGCATAATTCACTGTCAAGAGAAGAAACTCCTTAAAAGAAACTTTTCCAATCTGCAAGTCACTGGAGCAAACCGTGAACCGCTACAACCGCCAGCTATGTTCAACCCTCTTGCATTTACAAAAAGCAGCACATTTCGTTCTCAGAACAGCTGGAGCAGAAACACACTGACCAGGACCACATGCATCGTCTGACTGAAGAATTCCAGGAGCTCTCGACTCGAGTGTGTTTCCACGGGTGTGTCAGGACTGTTTACATTACAGCGGTAGGGGGAAGGGAACTATCCATCATGCACAACATCTGGCTTGCATTAAAACTTTAAAACTTTTCATTAGCCTATACTAAAAAATTAAAAATTAAAAAAATTAAAAATACAAGCAATAAAAAAATAAAAAATACTAAAGAATTTAGCTGAAACAAAACTCCAGCATGTGTTGCTTGACTTTACTGAAAAAAATAAATAAATAAAAAATAAAAATAATATATGTATATATTATGATAATGTAATGATATAAGACAAATACAGAATAATGATACATAAATAATTAGACTGACATATTAAAGTCACCATGATATAAACAAATGGTAATTTTTTTATTGTTTAGTAAATTAGCAGTGTTTAGTAAATTATCTTTATCAGTGCACATCTATTTTGATTCTTATTTATTATTTTATTTTTTATGATTATTCTTAAAATGATTTGCTCTGCGGCTGCAACACACTGCGATTTCGGCAATCCTATAAGATCATTACAAATCACACTGTACTACATGGACCTAATAAACTTGGGTACGACTCTGAAAATGTCTATTAGAGCCCGACCGATAAAGGATTTTGAAGGCCGATAACGATAAAAAAAAAATTGGGTTTTAAAATCCGATATATCGGCCGATATTTTTTTTTTATTAAATCTTGTTGGATTTCACACACGTGTAAAAGAAAAGCTAACTTTTCTGCACAAGATACGTTTGATACTTTTTCTCTATGTCTAAATGTTCACTCCTCGCAAGTATGACTTATGCAGGGACTGTAACTATATGCTAGTTATAAATACAGTAATAAATACTTTATTTAGGGAGAAAAAGTTCATTGTGGTTTCCAAACTCATTAATGTTAACGTTAGCGGTTTTCCACTGATGATAGTGGCATTAGCATGCTATGTGGTTAGCTAGTCTATGATGAGCCATAATTTAGCAATAGATATCATACTGCAAATTTTAAAACATACATTTTCAATATAACATGCCAAGAAGAGATGATTAAATCGTGTTTCGTTCCTTTTTTATTTTATTTTTTAAATATTCATTTATCGGCCATTTATAACTGTCGATACCGATATTATGGAAAATGCCTAATATCGGCCGATAATATCAGCCGGCCGATATATCGGTTTGGCTCTAATGTCTATATATAGACTGTGCGATGATAAAATCTTTTGAATCATAGGCTGCCACGCAAGATAGTATAGAAGAATAAACTATCATCAGCATGAGCAAGTGGTATAGAGAAAGATAAATCGCACTTTGGAATAAAAAATAAATAAAAAAACAGGCGGAAGCGAAAAAGGAGAATATGGATGTGGTCACAGCTAGGGAAAAGAGGCCAAATTGGTATCCCAATCTTGCAAATGGAGCAGAAGTTAAGTGGTTTTAAGTTTTAGGGTCATGTCGTATTGATCAACACGCCTTTGATGTTGTATTTTATTGGCTAGTCAGCACATGTAGGTCGTGGCAACAAACACACTGAGAGATGATCAGGAAAAATCTCTTCAAAATGATCTTATAGGCTAACTTTGGCTGAAAGACCATGACAACAGCCATCTTTGAACGTCTTTCACTATACGACGTAAGAGCACCGTTTAGGAGCCACGACCACAGAAATCGCCGCGATTGGTCGATTGTCATCTCTTTTCTTCTCTGATGACATGTTTACTGACACGAGGGCGGGACAACCTGTCAACCACATGGGATCACCGCAATAACAACCCACAACCATCCAATCAATTCCTGATGGGACAAAATGAAACAACAGCTTTTCTTGTTTGAGAAGCAGTTTCACTGGGATATACATCACAATAGGGAAGTAAAGACTTTCGCAACGTATGTTTGCATATTACATGTTCTTATTGTGTATTGTTATATCTTAATTTTATCAATTTGTCCAATGTATTTTTTTAAGTGCCCCTATAATGGTTTTTCGAATATTCCCTTTCATACAGTGTGTAATATAGCTTGTTTGTGAATGTAAACGTTCTGCAAAGTTGTTAAGTCGAAAGTGCACGATAAATGACAGACTGGTGAGGCAGGGCTTGTCCAATCATTTATTGCGGTTAAACTCCACCCCTGCTTTCATTCACCTCCACTTTTGGGTGCCACGCCCACATCTCAAAGACCAATCAAACTGATGCATAGATGCCCATGTCCCCATCCTACTTTTTTTTTCTCGAAAATCAGTTGTGCATAACAATAAGGAAGAACAGATGTTGCTAATTCCATTTAATTTAGACTTTAGAATAATTTTGTAGGTTGATATGAAGCCCAGTCCAATTTGTAGTTTATTTTGGACAAGAACAGGTACTTTTTGTTTGACCGACACTTAAATTGACCAAAAACAGTTCATTTTGTGCTTAGATGCTGTTTAAGCTGAGTACACAAGAAATAGAGGGAGGGGTTCGTATTTCAACACACTTGCAATGGCCTTCCTTCCTGTCACAACTTATATCAGAGTGTAACTGTGGTTTCCTGCGATGTTTTCACTTTGACAAGCAACCCAAAATTCACTAGCCAAGCTGAGCAGGACAAACACATAATGCAAGTCAAAATAACAGCACTATTCTAACATCCCCACTTTCTTATCATCACTTTTATGCAGCTATCCAGAAGACTTAATTCTGGTCTTAATTCTGAGCTTGATTCATATATATATATATATATATATATTGTTATTGCTTAAGTTTTCATTGGACTGCCGTCAAGAGATCATCATGTTTACTATCGACTGTAATTACAATGGCCTTGGACTGTTTCAGTATGAACTTATAGACATTTATAATAACCTATATAGTGGGCATACAAACTTTAAAGGGTTAGTTCACCCAAAAATGAAAATGATATCATTAATGACTCACCATCATGTCGTTCCAAGCCCGTAAGACCTCCGTTCATCTTCGGAACACAGTTTAAGATATTTTAGATTTAGTCCGAGAGCTTTCTGTTCCTCCATTGAAAATGTATGTACCTTACTGTCCTTGTCCATAAAGGCAATACAGACATCATCAAAGTTGTCCATGTGACATGAGTGGGTTAGTTCGAATTTTTTGAAGCATCGAAAATACTTTTTGGTTCAAACATGGCAAAAACAACGACTTTATTTAGCATTGTATTCTCTTCCGGTCCTGTTGTCATTGCTCGTTTATGATTCCAATGACGCTGCTGACGTGTTATCTTGTGCGCCCGAGCTTCGTTTACAGTCTGATGGAGACACGTGCTGTATTCAAGCTTTTCTACATTGTTTGTATTTTGGTATTGCAATATTTTTTAAAAATGGTTCGTAAGTGTGCATGTCGTGGATGTCCTAATCGTCCTAATCGGGCGCACAAGATAACACATCAGCAGTGTCATTGGAATCGTGAACGAGCAATGACAACAGAACCGGAAGAGAATACAATGCTGAATAAAGTCGTTGTTTTTGCTATGTTTGGACCAAAAAGTATTTTCGATGCTTCAAAAAATTCAAACTAACCCACTCATGTCACATGGACTACTTTGATGATGTCTGTATTGCCTTTATGGACAATGACAGTATAAGGTATATACATTTTCAATGGAGAGAGGGACAGAAAGCTCTCGGACTACTGTAAATCTAAAATATCTTAAACTGTGTTCCGAAGATGAACGGAGGTCTTACGGGCTTGGAACGACATGAGGGTGAGTCATTAATTACATAATTTTCATTTTTGGGTGAACTAACCCTTTAAAGGGGTCATGACATGAATTTTTGACATATAGGCTTAAAACATTCTCCTCATTACAAAGCATTTATTTAATCAAGCTCCAAAAACGCACCATAGGCCCCGGCCCACTGGCACACCAGATGCAAGTGTTGCATCCATACCTGATACAATACAAAGATGCACATTCACTTTCTGACATACCCACAGGACAAATGGATAGGACAGTAAATGGATGCATAAAGTCATTCACTTTGACGTGTCCAGTTCAAACAGCTCATTTGCTAATTTCTGTACAGAAAGATCCCAGCCTCAGAAATAAGTTGATGGTTTATTTTTAATGGCGCCATGGATCGTATCAGAGCCAGAGGATTATATGTTTGTTCTTGAGAATTTGACAGCAGATTTTGTAAACGAGGCACAGTGTACAGTAATTAGTCTGGTCCTACCAGACTTTCGTACATATCATTTGTACAGAGAGTCTGGCCGCTCTCCATTGACAAGTGTTAGCTTCCTTGAAGGCGGGTATTCCGTTTAAGTTTAAAAGTAAAACTATTGGATCTATGCAGTCAATATGCCATAGTCAATCGCTAAGGTTTGGTCGCGACATATGTCAACTCAGACTAGCACACAACCTCAATGTCATCGTTCTCAGCCACTCCCTCAGTTCGCTGATTGGACCGGTAGAAAATTGACTGGAGAAAACCCACAAATATACCATATATAATTCACCCTATATGTCTAGAAAATTGTTTTAAAAGCAAGTTAAAGCAAAAAAATAAAAAATAAATAAAGAGATAAATGAAAGAAAACTTCAAGAAAGTAAGAAAGCTTTATTTAGTTGGAAAGTATATCATTCAATAAGCTGGATAAATGGACAGTCAGTTTTTCATTATCATATGTTTCTTATTTAAATTTAATAGACTGCAAAATATTATACATCCTTACTAGAAGCATAAAAACGAAGACATATTCATTGTGTCTTTTTCATTTAATTTAACTTACGAAACAATGTGTTTTGAATGACACATGTACAGAGGCCTTTTCTCCACAGACAGAGAGGGGAAAAAAGTGAAGATAACCAGGCTGAGAATGTGACAGTAAATGTCAAACAACAGTGGTAACTGCAGACTAATGGCCTAATAAAGTTCTTAAGACAATTTAGTCTGTCTCTCTATAGTCGTATGTAAACCTGGACCACAAAACCAGTCACATGGGTCAATTTTTCGAAATTGAGATTTAGACATCCCCTGAAAGCTGAATAAATAAGCTTTCCATTGATGTATTGTTTGGACTATGTTTGGCCAAGATACAACTAATTG